AGCAGAATACTATTCGTAATTGCAGTCAGGCAGTCAACGTTAAGGTCTTCAATAGCATTCCTAGCTAGAGCATGATATCAAGGACAGCTGGGGAGGCATAAGCAGAATGCTACGAGACCTAAAGTCTGAAATGCACAGTACCGAAGGACAACCCTCGAAACCCCGTGTCTCTCCTCCACAGCGCATGTTCCTGGATCAACGTCTGCTAGCGCCTTTCCTGCTCCCACACAATCTATTCATCTTTGCGGTGGTAGTTGACCTTTGGATTCCAGCTAGAAACGTCTCGTCAGCATCTGTTCGTCTCCATGCGTTCCCACACTTTGCATCCTTCCCCACATATTTGCGCTTATAAGGTGTCCGAGAAGAAAATGACCTCGACAACTCCCCTACAAGCTCTCGTCTTATGGCTAGGGCCCAGAGAATAACTCAATGCACACGGAAAGGGCCTTACAATAGAGTCTGCAAATTCCACCGTATATGTCAGCTTTGTATCGCAGATTTGAAAGGGTCAAAAAGACTGACCTTGTCGCCATCGCCCCACGGGAAGGCTTTTGTTCGGATGTTCATATAGGGATACTGGACTCTTTCCTCCAAGGGCGGCATGTGCTCCCAATGTTCCCAATGCTCATCCCACAGATTCTTGGCGTTGATGGATCCTATGATAAGGGCAGGTATGACGATACTGTTCGATGTGAGCCGGTTTCTCCCAGTTGGCGTCCTCGGGGTGTAATACTAGATACAGAGTTTACGCCAAAGATCTGGATTTGAAATTGTAAGCGTATGAGCTTCAACCTCTTCATGACCTCAAAAGACTCTCACCCGCTGATTGTGCGGCATGGTGCTTGACAGCCAGTCTCTCTCTATTAAAGGCATTGTCCATTGGGCCGACAAGCTTCGGGGGTTCAGTACTGGCGAAGCGGCGCTGGAGGGTGCTACGGAGGATCGAAGCGTGTCCCTGCCTACCGGCAAGCTTTAGGGGAGGTAGCATCGAAGGCCGTGGAAGCATTTTTGTCGCGATGTGACTTGGACAGACTGCTGAGCTGAGGTCTCAGCAGTATGTCTTCCAAATAAGGCTGACGGCTAAACGTCGGATCTACCCAAAAGTTGTCGAGTAACTAAGTAGGAAACCTTACGTTCTAAATCATCAGTGATAGGCACCCCTGAGAAGAGTGAAGTGCTCACGGAGTATTCAAATCTTCGGATTTAGTTGACCAAGCCATGAAGCGTCGGAAAAGAGTCTTTGCATCATGGGCTTACGCATAACGACGTGGAATGGTAAATGCTCCCCATGCTCACTCCAAGCTGCAATGTTGTGTATGACTAATTGGTACTACAGTCAATGGCATCCGGTAAGAGATCTTCTTGCGTGCCTGCTCTTCAGGAAGACGTGAGGGAAATCTGGGGAGCAGTAGACCCTGACCACGCAATTGGAGGCTGTTCGTGATGGGAGCGCTGAACTCCAATGAACAGGAATCCATTTGGATATCAGCCATGGCGAGACAAGCGTTCATTCGCGGTTAGTCACTTAGGATCAAGCAAAGGGCATCGAAATTGACGCCTACAGGCCATGTTCGACATCCTGGAAGCCGACATCGTCGTGTTCCAAGAGACCAAGATCCAGCGGAAGGATCTTTCCGATGACATGGTACTCGTCCCTGGATGGGATTGCTACTTCAGCCTTCCGAGGCATAAGAAGGGTTATTGGCCACGTTGTCACCTAGAGAATTCTCGCTCACCAGGTACAGGGTACTCGGGTGTGGTCATCTACACTAGACAATCCGTCTGTGCGCCTATCCGCGCTGAAGAAGGTATTACAGGACTCCTATGCCCGCCAAACTCATCCACCAATTTCTCCAATCTGCCGGAAGAGCAGCAAATTGGGGGATATCCAACACCAGCGCAGTTGGCAGCCTCGGCAGTGGACGCCACAACCCTCGATGCTGAAGGTCGCAGCGTGGTTCTTGAATTTCCCGCCTTCGTTCTTTTCGGCGTTTACAGTCCTGCAAACCGCGATGAGACTCGAGATGATTTCCGCCTCGGCTTCCTTGATGTGCTCGACGCCCGAATACGGAACCTCATTGCCATGGGCAAGCGTGTCTTCCTGACAGGCGATTTGAATATATCTAGGGAAGAGCTCGATGCTGCCAATGCGGAGGTGTCGATGCGGAAGCAAGGTTTAACGGGGCTGGAATTTGTATCTACCCCTGCTCGACGTCTTTTCAATCATCTACTTGAGGGCGGTAAAGTCTTTGGGGAAAGGGACGAGGGAAGAGAACATTCGGTATTGTGGGATATATGTCGAGCTTTCCATCCCGACCGAAAGGGCATGTTTACATGCTGGGAACAGAAAGTCAATGCAAGGCCTGGTAACTGCGGGGCAAGGATTGACTACGTCCTCTGTAGCTTGACAATGAAGGATTGGTTTTCGGATTCTAACATTCAGGAGGGACTTATGGTATGCCTTGCATGCTTGCGTGGTGTGTCTCGGCTCACCAACTCATAGGGATCCGATCATTGTCCGGTGTACGCGGTCATGAAAGATGCGATTTTCATGGATGGGGTGGAACGTGATCTTCGGGATGTAATGAATCCTCCAGGAATGTTCTCGGGCGGCAAACGCCAAAGAGAGTATTCTGCGACAAGCGATCCTCTGCCTTCTTCTGGCAAGCTCATACCAGAATTCTTCGGCCGACGAAACATACGGGATATGTTCGCCCAAAAGCCTTCGCTTCCGCAGTCTCAAAGTAATGGCAATTCAAACAAAGTTGCGGAAGTCTCTGGCGTTACTGCAGCAAATCAAGGAAATTCAACGGCCGAGATGCTCGGTCCGATCGAAGAAACCGCAGTAGAGCCCTGTGACAGCTCCGTTAGAGTGCCAACAGTTTCTCCGTCTGCAGTAGGCCAGAAGCGATCTGCCCCAGCAACGACACGCAGCAAATCTACAAAGCGTGGGAAATCTGTATTTGCCACTGCCGCGGCGCCAATGACTGGCAAGGGCCAGCAGAGTCTCAAGGGCTTCTTCAAACCTAGTGCCGCTCTTATTTCAAGCGTCGCTAGTGCCATCCACGTTAGAGAAGTTCCGCAAACGAGCCTGAATGATGATACGGTCGGCCGAGCACCTGCAGACTTGGCCGAGACTTATCCTGCTCCTGATGGGCACATGAAGGCTGCTAGCCTAGAATCAGCAATTCATACACCTCGCAAGGTAGGTACCCAGCACATTCCGGATGAATCACGATTTGCCAACGCCTCTCCAATTAGAAATCATAAATCCGTCAATCAACCTCAAGAGAACGTCCACGATCCCGTTCAGAGTAAGGAATCATGGTCAAAGCTCTTCACGAAGCCTGCGGTGCCTCGCTGTGAGGGACACGATGAGCCATGCATCTCTCTGCTTACGAAGAAACCTGGTATGAATCTGGGAAGGTCGTTCTGGATGTGTCCACGTCCGCTAGGGCCCTCAGGAGCGAAAGAGAAGAACACGCAATGGCGATGTCAGACTTTTATATGGTGCAGCGACTGGAACCCTAATGCAACAAAGGGTTGATGAGGCGTTTAACAAATAGTGAATGCTAAAGTTTGCCTCCACCAATATCGATGATTTCCACAGTGCTGTTTTGCCCACAGCTAGAGACAGGTGGCGGGTAAAGGAAGGAATGACTGAAGAGATAGAAGGGGTCATCTAAGAAAGGAGAGCAAAGCGCTCTGAGAGGCATTGTACTCTACGCTTCAAGCATCTGATTGCCACCTCGAGAGGCGCGCTTTGGCGCAGACACTTTATTTGAGCAGCTACAGAATTTACTGGTCTAAAATTCACGTGTTTCTAGTGAGCCGCAAACCGTGTTTCACAGGAAATTGAGGAGGTTGGTAGTCGCGCGGGGAAAAATGAAGGGGTTGGGTTCCTTTTTCAGCAGTGTGTCATTCCAGCTGTTAGCGTCTCACAAGACTCAACGAATGTGATATCAATTTGCTATGCTAGTAGTGACTGTGTATAAGACGTGTGCCTCCATGCATGCAAAAGATAGGCTGCTCGGGCAGTTGCTGAGATAGGTGCTGTAATAGGGACGATGATGTGCTGTGTGTGCTGAAACAGGCGCTGTGACGACGACGTATCCAACGGCAAGTACCCAAAGGTAAATACCAAGACACGATGTCATGTTTTTGCGGCGGTACGGAAGGGGTATCATGACAGGGCACGGGGGAAGAGACACTGAGTTCCGGTGTAAAAGAAAGCCGTGTTCCGATTCGAGAAGAGTATTTAGAGAGCACTTACGGAGGTCGAATTGGCGTTGGCCGGAGTATCTCCCCTCACGCGCTCCTGAGCGTAGTGGAAATGTAGACACGAAAGAACCGCATAAGTCACAAGAGCTTCGATGGTCCATGTTGCGATTGACCGACCGGAATCTTTGGAGTTCTCCGTGCGAAAGGCTCATGTACAAATTTGATGCATACAGCCAATGTGGAGTACAAGAGGAAGCTCCACGGTCTATGATAGATTGAAAATTCAGATTTGGGATCAACTGAGTTGAACGTGGAGGTGTTGTGTAAAGCTAGTGTTGATCAACGATTAGTTCTGCTTTTCAATGGTTCTCTTCTAGGCAAAAGGCTTCGTGCGTCAGGGAAAGGATCTTCTCGGACTCGGCTAGGGATGCGCTTTCAGTACTTGCATTCAGAGTGAAGTTTCATTCACAAACTTGCAGTCGGGCCCAACTACTAGCCGGGATTCTCAGTTGCAAGTCTGACGCGGCTTTTCAGACCCCGGGCGAAGCGCAGAACCCATCCATAAACACTAACTTTAGCGTACGGATTTGAATCTGCCCTTGCACGATTTGAGTTGTTCACAGCCCATCAGCGAAGTAAGGATATCTGCAAGATCAATCTTTGAGCACCCCACGTGGATGAGACACTCCAATACAAGACTCACAACAGCTACGAAGCCTGCTTCCAAATTATATGCACCGCTGTACCAAGTTTAATCGTCACGAAGAGTAACCCTTACGATGTCCTTCAGGAACAATCTTGCCGATCGCGCCTTCCAACGCTCCACTACCGACGATAATGGAATCGAGAGCTCTATGTCTTCGTTTGGTGGGGCCAGAATACGCATCTCTAACGAGCCAGAGCTACGCCGGCGGATCAAAGAGCTGGATGAGGGCGGTTGGGAGTGGCGATTCTTAGCCTATGCTGAAGAGGACAAAGGCCTTCTCGAAAGTCAGTGAAACAATTCTGGCGCTCCTGAATAGATCTAATGTTGTCTAGGCTCTTCCCAAGCCGGCTCTCACTGCAGTTACGCTTACCTCGAAGCTATCAGACACAATCTCGGCATCGCCAAAATGGCTTGCCAGTTGGAAATGGATGCAGAATATGAATTAATAGAGGATGTGATCATGGCTACTAAGAGCGAGCTGTCGCGTCTGCAGGAACACCCTGAGCTCTTTCCTAGCCAAGACATCAGAGAGAAATTCTGGCACAGTGTTCGGCTCAAGTGCAACGAGTCGGTGAAGTTCGTCATATCAGAGCAAGAGGCTCGTGATCATGCGCACGAAATGTTCCAGGCTGTTAGTGTGGAAGTTGAAGAAAACACGCGCACTCCGGGAAGGGACATGCAGCGAACGCCTTGGGAACAGTTCTTACACAACAGAGCACCAGGCGCTGAGGCGGATCTCTCGATGTTTGCGGAAGAAGGAAGCGTTCAAATCATTCCGATGGCTGCAGCCAGGATCCTGATGGCAACTCTTGAAGAGCATGCAGCCATCATTCGTGATATTGAAGCAGTGAGTACCTTAAATTTGGCGGTCAGCAGCGTGGCGCTGCACGAAGATACAAAATACTCGAAGCTGATCGCATTTAATAATTTAGCAACGTGAGGACTTGAAACCATACGCGCCATCTTCCAGCAGCCATCTCCACTTTTGCGGATTGAAGCTTTCGCCTGACGGTCATCTGCGCTTACGCAAGGTGGTATGTTCACATGCCTTGGGCTGACTCATTAGAAGACTACTGACACATGTTAGTCAAACGACCTGTGCAAAACGACTCCCGCTGTGAGTGCCATGGTTGTTCGTGGCATGGAGTAGTAGATTGACAGCTACAGGGTCCACTTGACGTTGGCAGACACGAAGACGTGAATAGCCTAGAGACGCTGAATCTAGATTTCGGTAAGTCCAGTAATCTGCAGCTGTACAAGTAGATGCTGAATCCAATGTACAGCTGCGTTAAACCAACGGAGACCTCCCCTGCGTCCACGCATGTGGAATTGTGTTACCGTGGTAGTTCACGACCGACCAAACTATGGTGTGGACTCGGAGCAACGCGATGAAACAGTGGAAGAGATGACGAGCATGCTTAGTTAGATAACTTAAAACAGGGCAGATCCTGTTGGCTTTGTCCAGATCTCCAGTAGACTGTAATGCATCATGTGACTTGTGGATCTTAAAGTGAATCATTTGTTCTTTTCTTTGTGACGTGAGGCGAAAGGAAAAACACCAACCTCCTCTTTTTCGACTTCGGTAAAACATTTGAAGCAGCGCAAACCACAAAACATCCACCTGTCAACCAACAACCAAGAACATCATAGCAGCGCTCTTTTCAAGCTCACCATTCTTGTTCATCGCTTTGACAGTTAGCAGCTATTGCACTCATCACGGTCTCATCTTAGATTTCCTTCGCAACACCGAAACATGTCCCTCACACCAGCCATGAAGGCCGCCTTGCGCAAGATGACGCCTGATCAAATCGCTGCTGCCCTTCAGGACGCGGGTCAGCCTCGTTCAACCTTGAAGAAAGAGCGTACCGCGCATGGCAAAATCCAGAAGAAAGACCTTGTCCTTGTCGCGGCGGTTACCAAGGCTATACGACCCCTCAACTCCTGGATTGCATATCGGAGTAAGTAATCACAGATCCACAAACCTGATGGTCATTTTTAACGACGTTTCAGGCTATTATTCTACAATATTCTTGAGCTTTCAGCAGAAAGAAATCTCCGGGTTCCTAACTATCTTGTGGCAGAACGATCCTTTCAAGGCGAAGTGGAGCATCCTTGCGAAGTCATACTCAGTGATCCGCGACAGCCAAGGCAAAGCCAATGCACCCTTGGAACAGTTTCTCGCAATCAACGGTCCGCTCATCGGAGTCATCGAGCCCACACAATATCTCGAGGCTCTAAGCTGGGAGGTCGCTGTCGATGAAGATGGACAGACAGTAATGCGTCGCAATGGGAATTCAATCGACGAGCAGCTGTTCACCTCTAACGTATCTGTCAACGACGTGATTCGCAACAGCTATGATGAAGGATACTTCACTGGCGACCTCTCAAAGGTCCTTCTGGCGAATAACGAGGCAGCCATGACTATGGCAGTCTCGGTGCAGCCGACTAGCAACGCTCACCAGTCGACTACCGGTCACCTTGAGAGTCACGACGCTGACTTTGCGGCCACCGAAAACTTCAATGGCTCCAGCAAAGAGAAAAAACAAGTCCCTACAACAGTAGTCATTGACGACGATGGGAGTAACTCTGCTATGGCGACCACTGCCAACGAAGCTGGCCCTGAGGAGTCCATGGCGGAAGACAATGATGACATCCCAGGAGACTCGACTGCTTTGGCAACCGAGAATGCGCTGCCAACTGGAGAAACCTCAGCTGTCATGACAGCCACTGTGACAAGTCCAGTTTTTGACCCCCACAATCTCGGTCCTGGCTCGTTCCTGAATATCGATGCCGGCATGACAGAAATCCAGAGCCACAAAAATGCCTCTGCCAACGACCCGGATGTCTCAAGCTTGTCGGCTTCTGCGTTTCACTTGGATGGGGAGTACCCCTTCAACACGGAATTCGATCCTGACTTTTCTGGAGCCACCTTCAACCCTTTCATGGGCAATCAATTCAACGTCTTTGATATGAGCGATGCCTCCTGGGATGATTTCATCGACTTCGACGCCTCGGCTTGATAGCATTGTAGGTACGCTTGAATCCAACCAAGCCGATCAAAGGCTAACCTTGTCACTAGGCACCCATTGCTCGATCTAACACTAGACCTGGCTGCTCGGACATATGCCTGCATTGCTGCATGGCCTTGTTCATGCCCGTTGTATATCGCAAAGGAGAGAATGAATGCTACATAAATCGAGTCTTACTCACAATAATTTCATTCCCCAGTCATGCACTCCTCGCTTGAGAAATTGCAACAAGCGACGCAAGTTGCATACACGTGTCCTTTCCAAGCTCTTTCCAAACGGTCGATAAGCACACCGATCACATAAGTAAAAGTCTTTAGACACCATCCAAGTTCTCTGAAAAGAAGAGTGTAGTAGGGATAGAGTTCGGAGAAGATGCTTTCTTGGCAATGCCTACCGCCCCCTTCCTGCCGCCCGGGGCACAGACCCACCAAGAGGGCGCTTGCAGCGTCTCGTCAGACCTGTTGACGTTGTACAGTTGTACTCTACTTACGATTCTATGATTCTAGCCTTCTGAGGACAGCGAGCCCAAGCAGTGGTACGGAAAATACGTCTGACCTACTGATCCGCCTATCTCTAAATTTCGTTGTGCCTCTCGTATATTGCGGCTAGAAATCTACAAGATGCAAGACGCGACCTTTTCTGTGTTCTATCACAGAATGTGTGCCCCGCCCAAGTTGCACTTATCCCTTGCTAGCAATCCCAGCGTCTCTGCTGTGCCCTCCTTCAACGCGAATGCTGCTACATGGCCAAAATTGAAGAGCTTGCGCAAGATGCTGTGGAGGGTCACAGCTCTTAAGAGAACCCAATCATCCTCCTGCTGCTCCCCCCTACTACCATGAAATCCTGCGCCCTGAGACGATGCCAGTCTTCTATCTAATCCAAAAGATTCATGGCATGCTAATGTTTCTGCAGTTAAGCCAAAAACACTGAGGTGACGACAGTACGTTCAGTTTCTGGCCTAGAGAGACGCGCAGAGCTTCCTTAGCCCGGAATCCTATCGTCCGAAAAATGCCTGCATCGATACCATTCTGGCCTCCTTCTCAAGACGGTCGCTCGCTGAACGCCTTTTCGAATAAATTGCTCCCAAGACCTTCTTCAGATGAGCCAACACCTACAAACCGGGCATCATTCATGCAAACCCATGCAAGGACTGAAGTTCCAGACATCCAGAGCTACTCAAGATGAATTGCTCTAATTTTGTGGCTCGACATGAAGGATTGTGCTAGGATGTTGGGAATGAACTGGCGTCAATGGTGGTAACTTAATCCGAGCAAAGCGATCAACATGTCCTAATATCTCCTCTTAATCCTATAGTTCCGTTCTATAAATTACCAGACCAAAGAAACAATCGCTGGTAAATACAACAGAGCGGACAGGAGCTGTTGGATGGCATGGTCTATTCGTCTTGTCGGCAGGACCCTTTCCTGATGTTGCCCTTGCAACTCTAAGAGCGTTATCGAGTCTGTCCGCGTACCTGACGTAACCCAATCCCTGTCCTAGACTTAGAGTACCACATTAGCGACAGGGTGAGGTAGATTTGCTCGCTCCTCCACGATCTGCACTCAGGTAGCATATCGCATGTAGCATCGCTCATACTCTCCGAGGACATACTAAGCACATACATCTTCCAGCAACCCGGGAACCGTATCGACTCTATGATAAGATACAATTCCATATCTTTTGCTATCCTACAAAAGGCCTACTAAGCATACAATGGTACATGCATGCATCCATGACTGTGTGTTGGCTTTGCCTGCCGCCAACCACGCCTCTCCCAGACCTAGTCCTCCTGATAAGAAATCTTTCTCATCTCACCCAGTCTCTGCCTAGCCTGTGCAAGATTATTCTCCAGTTGCAAAATCTCAACCTAAGCCACAAATCATGTCAGTGATTGAAAAACTCCAAACCACTGCCTCCAACAATGCCCAATCAAAGCAAAACTTGGGGGCACTAACCTGCTGTTCCATCTCTCTGACCTTGAACTCGTGTCCACTTAAAGCCGCGTAGTCCACGTCCTCTCCCTCTTCCCTGTTTCTTTGACTAATGATGTCTTGTACCTGTTTGACTAAACTTCTACATGCTCTGCCGACTGCCTTGCTGGCTTCTTCAAGTCGATCCTGCGTCCTGCTGCCGAAATTTGCCTTAACTCTACTCGCCGCCACAAGTTGTGCAGTAGAAGCTGCTACGTCATTACTGGCGACAATGAGTTGCTCTGGGCTGTTCCGGTTGCTGATAACACCATCCGCCGTCTCGATGAGTGTATTGGTGGACGAAGCAACAGCCTTCGCGGCGCTGATGAGCCCCTCCGTCCACCGATTATGCTTTTTGTAGAAAGCTGTTCGCGAAGAGGAGCCGCGGCCCTCCTTGACAATTTCCTGCTGGGAAGCAGTGGCGGCTTTGATCAGCTGAGCGATGGCATTCGTGACTGCTATCGCAGCTTGGAGGATGCTATCGTGGATTCGGAGCTCGTAAGTGCTGTAGCCTTCTCTAGACTTGTTGATGAGCTTGTTCAAACGTTCTGCAGCGGCATCAATAGCCTTCGCGGCATTCGTCATTTCTGTATCTACTAGATCTCCAAGGTCGCCCTTTGCGTTTGTGATTTTCCCGGAGTTGGGAGCGAAAGCGTCTGCAAGCTTAGAGAGCTTTTGAAGGTTCATCAGTACTTCGTGGTTGTTGTTGATAACGACGTCGGTCCTCTGGGTAGCTTCTAAGCCTTCCAAACGGAATGACTGGAGCGCACGGAAAAATTTCACTGTAGACTGGGCAGACTGGCGGCCAGCATTTGTGAGCTGGTCGGCTTTTTTCTCCTCGGTGGCAAAACGGGTGAGCCCTTTCGTATTGCTGAGCACGTCTGCTATTGAGCCGGCAAATACGCTCACAGTACGGATAATGTCAGCATGAGGGCTATTGGGCCCATCAGCGATAAAATTGTTGAACGCTGTTGAAAACTCAGTAGCACTGGCGGATGCTTTCTCAATTTGAGAGAGGACATATGGAGCCGAGGCGTTTTGGTTTCCTGCCTGCATTGACGAGTCGAGCTCATAGAGAGCGTCATCGACACGCTGAACTCCACTTTGTAGCACGGAGTCGATTATGTCGTTGATCTTTTGGATGTTGCCCAAAAGGACCTGGTCGATTTGCTCATCAAGAGCTTTGTCTGTATCTCCGCCATTCTAAATATCGTTAGTGAGGCTCAGTGGTTAGTCTTCCAGGAACATACCATCCTCAGTTCGTTGAGCTCGAGCAGAGTCTGGTCCATGCCGGACTTGTAGATCTCGAGCTCCTCTTCTTTTTCACGAAGGCTCCGCTCGAGATCCCCGTCCCGCTCTCCATACTTCGAGTGAATATCATCAAAAGATCGAGTCTTGTTCTATTATGAGGTCAGCAAGTTCTCGCATGGCGCACAATGGAGAGGTCTACCCGCAAAGCTTCCTCGAGGTCAGCCATTTCCCGGTTGTACTTTGCCAGCATCGAAGACAGCTCGGAACCTTTGGCACGTTCCGCGTTGTCTGCCTTCTCGAGGGCAAATCGAAGCTCGCGCTTAAGCTTCTCCACTTCCTCTCTGTTGCCCCCTGTAACCCGATCCTTCTCGTGAAGAGCTCTGTCCCTCTCTCGAATCATATCTGCTAGCTCAAGATTCTTGGTCTTGATCTCGCGCTCTAATTTCTCCCTCTTGTCAATCGCTTCTTGCGCTGACGCCGCTTTGAGTTGGACGCTTTTGAACTTCTGCAGTAGCTCGAGATGTTCGTGCCGTAACTGGGAGTACAATTTGGCGAGCGCTTCGTACTTTGTCCTCCATGTGTTGACTTGCTCTTGGAGCGAGCGAATCTGGTCGTCTTTCGAGGAGTTCTGCTGGTTAAAGTTGTTGTTTAGCTGATTCAGCTGGTTCTCTAAATCCTTCATCCTACGATCGTACTGTTCTAGCATCAACTGATCTTGTTGGTATTGGGCACGAGCCTTGAGATTTTGCTGTTCTAACTCAGCCATTCGGCCGTGCGTCTGAGCTTGATACTGTTCTCTCATTAGCTGCTCTTGAGCGAGCCGTTGCTGCTCCTCTTGCAACCGTCGCTGCTCTTCAAAGTCACGCTCTGCTTGTTGCTGCGCCAATTGTTGCTGATATTGTTGTTGATTCCATTGATCCTGTAATCGTCGTTGCTCAGCATCGTATTCCTCTTGCTGCCTTCGCTGTTCGTTCTTCCAGAACTCATTGATTGGTTCAGGGTCCGGAGCATTACCGGGAGGAGGTGATCTCGGGGGGGCTGGCTCCTCTTTCTTCTCCACTTCTTTCGCTGGCCGGCGTGGTAAAGCCGGCCGATCCTCATCTTCGCCGAAGAGACTAGGTGGTTCCTGCGGTAGCTTGGGTACTTGGATTAGGCTAGTCAAATATCGGAGATTTGAGCATTCGTAGTAGAATTTTAGAAGACGGTAATGTTGTGTATCGTATCTCGAGCGCAAAGGTTCTAGGGCCTCGTCATCTCCAGTAGCTATGCGTATTCAGTCAGTCGCGTCCAGCCCAGAAGAGAGTGTGGTACGAACTAGTATGCATTGCTCGCAGCATGCTTGTGACGAATTTGTAGATGCCATAACTTTCTTGCACCAAAGGAACCAGCGCTGAAATTCTGCATTCGTTGTTGGCACCGCCTCTGAAATGGGCAAAGATGAGTTTCTGGAAGGTATCGATCTGGTCTTGAAGAGTCATAAGGTCTGTGATTGTCTCATATCTATGAAGTGGGTTAGCAGACGGTGAATAGCCATTTGATGAGGTACGCTACCCTTCGTTGGGGTCATTGATCGACTTCAGGCTGATGTACTCCTCATATTCAAAAAGCCCTGCAAGGCTATTTAGCTCCTACCATGCGCGCACGCTCAAGAGAATTCAAACCATTGAATTCGGGATGCTGCCTGTGGAACGCCAATTTGGCTAAGAGGAAGTAGACGTAATCTCGTAGCAGAGGTCCATATCCTGTCTCAACCGTCAAGTTTTTGCCCTT